ACCTTGGCTTTGGAGACAGACTCCATGTTACTGGCCAAGTCATCGATCTCCATCTTCAGCTCACTCTTCTCCTTCTCCAGCTTCTGCTTCACTCGCTGCAGGTTGTCGATCTGCTCCCCGAGCTCGGCCGTGCTGTCCGCGTGCTTCTTCCGCAGGGCGGCAGCCGTGGCTTCGTGCTGCAGCGTGGCCTCTTCGAGGTCGCGACGCATCTTCTGAAATTCTGCCTCACGCTTCTTGTTCATCTCCATCTGAGCTGCAGTGGCCCCTCCTGCTTCTTCCAGGCGCTCGCTGATCTCCTCCAGCTCCCTCGAGAGGTCGGCACGATGCTTCTCTGCTTTTGCCCGAGAGGTTCGCTCTGCCTCAATTTCCTCCTCCAGTTCCTCAATACGCGCCTGGGGAACATTAGGCACCCCTCACACCCATGCCCTTCTCCTTCCTGACCCAAGACTGGATGAAAGAGGGGAAGGAACAGAGACTTGCCTGCAGCTCCTTGATCTTCTTCTGTAGCTGCATGCCCAGGGCTTGCTCATCCTCGATCTTGCTCTGGATCTGGCTGATTTCAAAGTCTTTCCTTTGGGCAAAGCAAACCACGTTAGAGCTCAAAGAACACAGACAAGTCCACCAGCCCAGCACTCAGGTGCCCCACAGCCACACTCACTTCTTCAGTTTCTCATCCAGCTGCTGCTTATCATTTTCCAAATCCATTATGCTGTCATGGGCCAGCTTCAGGTCTCCTTCGAGTTTCCTCTTAGCTCTCTCAAGGTCCATGCGCAGCTTCTTCTCCTGCTCCAGGGACCCTTCCAGCTAAAGAGAACAAGGCCATCAGTGCTCTACCAGCCAGGTCTAAGTCCGTACCGGTCCTGTTCTTGCTGTATGGCTGTGTGCTTACATCGTCCACTTGCTGCTCCAGCTTGGTCTTAGCTTTGGTCAGCGTATTGACTTTGTCCTCTTCTGCCTGCAGGTCATCCAGTGTCTGCTGATGGGCCTCTTGGAGGGCTTTCTTCTCTTTTGTCAGCTTCACAATGGTCTCATCCAGGGCTGCCATCTCCTCTGTGAGGTTTTTCACCTTTGAGAAGAAGGGAGCAAGTGCACATAAAAAACCTTGTTTAAAACTTTATTCTGTGTAACAAAACAGGCCATTTCTCTAGGAGTGACATCTTCGGACTTTTACCATCACAGCAGTGATGTCTTGGCCCTTTATGTGACTCGCTGTGGGCTTACCTTGTTTTCTGTGGCATGCTTTTCCTTCTCAACCTTGGCCAGTGTTAGCTCAAGATCGTCAATGTCTTTCTTCAGCTCTGAACATTCATCCTCCAGTTTCCTCTTCTTGGCTGTCAGCTCAGCGTTAATTTCTTCCTCATCCTCTGCCCTTTCAGTCACTTCTTTAACTTTGGCTTCCAGCTGGATTTTGGTTTTAATGAGCTGGTCGCACCTCTCCTCAGCATCTGCCAAGCTGTCTGCTTCCTGGTGGGAAGACACAGATACTCTTCATTTGTTTTCTGAACCTTTCTATGCAAACTTCTTAAAATATGGCCTGAAGTTGGCCTCTCCTCAAGATTGTTAATATTTCCTTTTTTCTTAGGTGAATTATACATCTCGTCAGCTGGAAACAATATTGATTCCTAAACTTTTTTGTCTCCTAATGTGGTAGGTGTGAGAATTTCTCATTTACCTAGTAGAGAAAAGTCTTGGAGACATACTCTTCAGAGAATATTCAATCTTTCTTTTTGTAACTGAATCATTCTGAACCCATTATTATGTTGGGAATAAAAACTCTGGTAGTCTCAGCAATAATTTAATAGAAAGAAGATTACTTTATCTCTAAATGTATTAAGAGTGCTGCTTGTGTAAGTGGAGCCTTACCTTTGTAAATCGCATACCTTTGTGTCATCCTTCCATACTGTGTCTGGAGTGGTATATGCTGGTTTCAGCTGACAACCACATCATCTTGTTCTTTGGTGGGCTTTTGGTGTAATGAATTTGTTTTGTCCCAAATGAATTTGAATGGTAAATATCTTATAAGAAGGTCCAACGGGGTATTGATTTTTCTCCATATAGTAGGGAAAAAATAGGTAACACCCATTTTCTATGGGAATGTTCAAATAATTGGGTAATTAATGTAGTGTTCCCATTTTAGTTGCTAACAAGTAATTTAATCAGTAGATTAAGATGACTTTTATAAGATGTTATTTGAATATCAAATAGTTTTGTGTATATTTTTAAGCAATATTCTATTTTGTGAAGTTCTGTATGTCTACAAGGTTCATAGGATTGCGGTGGTAAAATTAGCCAGATTGAGGGATCTGGCTATGAAGTTATCTTTACTAAAAGAATGTTCCTTTCAGCTAAACGCTAACAGTCCGTGAATGCTTCCCACTCCTCGCTTCTGAGGTAATATAACACCAAGTGTGCCACTCCTGTAAGCTCCACCAAGAGCCAGTCTCTCCATATTGTCATGTTATTTCATAGAATTGTAGAATCGTTTGGGTTGGAAAGGACGTTTAAAGGTCATCTAGTCCAATGGCCCTGCAATGAGCAGGGATATCATCAGATAGATGAGGTCACATTTACTCTTTGATTCCTTAGAATGTTGCAGCTACTTAAGTAGATGGTTACCAGGCATTGTTAACATTAAAACTTTTGCTTTTCCTCACCACTTTCTTTTTATCTAATAGAGTTTATAGGTTTGGTCTCGACAATCAATTGGCAGAGAAAAGGGGAGTAGAGGGGGACATGCTGCCCAAATATTCTCTCACAGTGTTTATAGTTAAAAAAGCTTCTGTCTGATGTGTTCTAAATTCTGCTCCCCAGAATGGGGACCCCAACACAAGTACATTATGGAAAGATGGGTTTTAGTGGAAAGGAATGTTCTTTTAATAAAGATAACTTCTTAAACAGACCTATAAATCTTAAATATTAATAATTTTACCACCACAGGATATTTTTGTAGAAAATCCGGATTAGAGATGCAAAAAATAACAATGTTCAAAAAACTTGAAAACTTCTGCTTCATTATAAATTTCAGTTATGACATTGATTCATACAGGTTACACCTAAAGCACACAGAGCTCTTTTGTGTAATTAACAACTGAGGGAAGAAGAACAACCCTGTCCCATCCCCGGAAGGTGTGACTTTTTCTTGGAAACAGGAACTCTGAGTCTATAGTCTTAGATTAAGGAGAAATTTGCAGCTGTATTTTCCAGTTACAGAGTTAATGATTAACTTCTAGTTATTAAACAAAAGAAGGATGTCTCTTCTTGCACCTGAATTCACGAGTATCACTTTCAACTCTGGTTTTCATTTACTCTCCAAAATGAATTCATTGTTCTACATCCTGGTGAGATGCAGAGAACCCTGCAGGACTCACCTGTTCAGAGGGAGTTGGGGCTTCAGCCAAAACTCTGCTCTGAGTAATTCCTGATGGCTAGCTGTATCGGCCTCCTTCCTCTGAAAGTGCAAGAGCCCTAACTCCCACTTGGCGCTCCCTGTTTCTTTGCACTATCTGTCAGAGTGCTAATCACACCACTGCCAGAAGCTGATTTCCTCAACTTAACATACATATGATGGATAATTCACCAGATATCTGACTTTTGGTCTTCTAGAGTCTGACTTTTTGCCTCATAAAGAACAGTCTGGAGGTATAGACTCCTTTTCTGAGTGATAAATTAAAGGTGATAAACTCACCGCCTGCACTTGGAGCTGCAGGTCATTTTTCTCCTGCAGCAGGGCCACCATTTTCTCCTCCAGCTCCTTCCTCTTTGCCTCAGACTTTGCAAGCTCTTCCTTGGTTTTCTCAAACTCTTGTTTCATGTTGGCCATCTCCTTCTCAGATTCGGCGCTCTTCAGCAAGGGCTTGATCTTGAAGAACAGCTTCATCCAGGGCCAGTGCTTGACATTCATGAATGCACGAACATTGTACTGGATGCAGAAGATGGACTCCCTGAAGAATAATTCAAATGTACATTGAATATTTTCAGTATGACAAGTGCCAACACTTCCCCCAAGTACAGTGATTTTAGGTGAAGATGAGGAATGTCTACCTCCTCTCCACCATTCTCTGGTACTCCACTCTCATCAGGAAGCCCCTGCACCTGGCCTGGGTGCGGGTGATAATCTGTGCCAGCTTCTCATCTCTCATCTCCTCCAGGAGTCCCAGCAGCCCAGCTTTGAAGAACACCTTGAGAAAGGGAATGTTGCAGCACATCACTGTCAGGTAGACAAAGCACAGGCACAGAGTGAATGAGTCAAGGAGGGTTTGTACCTTGGTATGACCAAATTTGTACTGTGTGTGGTCCACATCAATTGAAGCAAGAAGCTTCTCAGAAGCCTTCTTGCTATCAATGAACTGTCCCTCTGGGATGGCACTGGCATTAAGCACCTTGTATCTGTGAAAATAGAAAGAGGATGACAAGGCTGTTTTTCCAAACAACCCACCAGCTCATATATAGCTATTTTTGACAACAGAGTCCAGCCTGAATGGACCTATATGAATGAACCAACATTGCTTGTAATGGTGCGGAGAAGTGCAGTGCTCTTACCTCTGTTTGAAGTCAGCGTAGAGAACTCTGCTGGGGAAACCTTTCCTGCAAATTCTGATGCCTTCCAGCACACCATTACACCGCAGCTGGTGAAGCACCAGTTCATGCTCCATGGCACCTAGAAATTCAGAATGTAAATGAGTACCATCATTTCCAGCACAGAGGGAAATAGATGTATGCAATTTCTCTTTCTGCTTGAGGGTTTTACCGGGTGTTTTTGTTTCATTTGGGATGATGCAACGGACAAAATGGGGGTGAGTGCTCCGCAGATTGGTCATCAGCTTGTTTAAGTTCTCCTAGAGGGGTAAATTAGTAATGTCAGTTTTCTGTGTCTAGTGCTTGATGCACTAAACCCATGGTAATACCTTTATGACTTAGCTGGGCTTCAGAACACTCAGGAAAAGACACAGAAACCAAATATTTCTTCTATTTGAAGACACTGAACACCATTTTTACAGACTGAAATACTACTATCTTGCTATTGATCAAGTGTAAACTAATATAAAACTTCACACTTTTGCACAAAGAAATTAACTTTTATATTTTTCATTTCCTGTTTTCTAAAATCAATCTACTTAAGTAGTGGTTTTTTTTTTCAAATAAGATAAATAAATCCTTGTAAAATGTTTATAAGGAGACTTTCAATTCCCCAACCTATCAAACTCACAGAAATGTAGGAATGCTAAAATTATATTTCTAGTCTGACCCAAAGACATAAAAGTAAAAAGATCTGAATTATATCCTCTCAAAAAAAACCCAACACCCCAAAAAAAAAACCCTACCCAACAACCAGAATCCAGGATTCTCATGATATTTAAAGACTGAATGCTTATTTTTGAACATGACATATTAATAATATTGATACTGATCCTGGGAAGCCTGATGTGGAATTTCCAAAGAATTTTACCACTGTTATAGCAGTGCAAAACAGCCCTTTCAAATTTAATATTAGTTCACTCCCTCTCTTTGTATTATTAAGAGAAAACAAATGCAGTACTGTACTCGGAAAAGAGCTGAAACAGTCTGGAAAGAAGAACCCTTCTTCTTCCCACCCTTCTTGCCACCACCACCAGCAGCCTCTGCAAATGGCATAAAAGAAAAAAGTATTAAAATATAGGTGCTACAAATTGGAAACTACAGAACACAAAACAACTTTAATTTTTTACTGCTTTAAGTCTATATCAACATTGTCCCAAACTGAAAATATAATTTTTCACAGAGCTGACCTGCATCTGCTCCACCATAGTTGGCAAAGAGTAAGGCCAGTGTTTTCAGCGATGATTTCTGGTACAACCCAATGACAGTTTCATTCAGGGGGTCCTTGTTCTTCTCCAGCCAGCCGGTGATGTTGTAGTCCACCGTGCCAGCATAGTGAATCAGGGAGAAGTGGGCCTCAACCTTGCCTTTGGCAGGCTTGGGCTTCTGGAAGTTGCTGGACTTGCCCAGATGCTGATCATAGAGCTTGTTCTTGAAAGAGGTGTCAGTTGCCTTGGGGAACATGCACTCCTCTTCCAGGATGGAGAAGATGCCCATGGGCTGGAAGACATTACAACAGACAGGAGGGAGAAACAGATTAGAAAGCTGACATTCCTCGGTTGGTTAGATCCTGGAGTCAAGAGAGTGCTGGGCATTTCATAGCAATAAGTTAGAGAAAATTAACTAAGGCTCAAGTATTTTCAGTGTTGCTGTTTCATTTGTAAATGAACAACATTGCAAAATATTATCCTCTCCATAAAACTTCTTTACTTACAGAACATGGTAGTCTTTTGTATAACTTTATTTTGTAATTTGGAAATGAATACTCTAACCAATAGTCCTGAAATCTGAATATGATATCCAGAAACACTTCTACCCTCTTGCCAGTTTCACAGGGTATATATTTGAAAAAGCCAGAGTATTCTCACATGCATCTTAAGTATGTCTCTTGGCAAGAATGGAAGATCCAACATATAATACACTTGAACAGAAATGTTACCTTCTCAATCAGCTCAATGCAGGCAGCCAGGTCCATCCCAAAGTCAATGAATGTCCATTCAATTCCTTCCTTCTTGTACTCCTCCTGCTCCAGCACGAACATGTGGTGGTTGAAGAACTGTTGCAGTTTCTCATTGGTGAAGTTGATGCACAGCTGCTCAAAGCTGTTGAACTGCCAGACATAAAAAAATAACATAACTTTTTCAAGGTTGAGCAATAATATCAAGATGTTTTATTGTGAAATCCTAATTCATCATGGCTGATACTTTAAATCAGGAGTGTGATGAGAAGAAGGACTTGGGGGTGTTGGCTAATGAGGACCTCAACATGAGCTGGCAATGTGCACTTGCAGCTCAGAAAGACAACCGTATCCTTGGCTGCATCAAAAGAACCATGGACAGCAGGTCCAGGGAAGTGATTCTGCCCCTCTGCTCCTCTCTTGTGAGACCCCACGTAGAGTACTGTGTCCAGCTTTGGAGTCCTCAGCATAAGAGGGAAATGGACCTATAGGAGCAGGTCCAGAGGAGGGCCATGAAGATGATCAAAGGGATGGAGTACCTCTCCTCTGAGAAAGAGTGAGAGACTTGGGGTTTTTCTGCCTGGAGAAGAGAAGCCTCCAGGGAGACCTTAGAGTGGCCTTCCAATATATAAAGGGGCCATATAAGAAAGGTGGAGAGGGACTTTTTAGAATGGCATATAGTGGTAGGATGAGGGCTAATAGCTTCAAGATGGCTTCAGTGGCTTTAGATTAGATCTCAGGAAGATATTTTCACTGTGAGGGTGGTGAGACACTGGACCAGGTTGCCCAGGGAAGCTGTGGCTGCCCCATCCCTGAATTTCACTGAATTTTTGGAGTTGGAAGAGACCATAGAGATCATCTAGTCCAACTCCCCTGCTGAAGCAGGATTGCCGAGAGCATGTTAGAGCATGTTACTCAGGACTGCATCCAGGCGGATCTTGAAAATCTCCAAAGAAGGGGACTCCACACCCTCCCTGGGCAGCCTGTTCCAGGGCTCTGTCACCCTCACCGTGAAGAAGTTTTTCCTCGTATTTGAGTGGAACCTCCTATGTTCCAACTTGTGCCCGTTGCCCCTCGTCCTCTCACTGGCAGCCACTAAACAGAGTCTGGCTCCCTCCTCCTTCAAACCACCCTTTAGGTACTTATAGGCATTGATAAGGTCTCCCCTCAGCCTTCTCTTCTCCAGGCTAAAGAGTCCCAGCTCTCTCAGCCTTTCTTCATAAGGGAGATGCTCCAATCCTTGAATCACCTTCGTTGCCCTTCTCTGGACTCTTTCCAGTAGTTCCCTGTCCCTCTTGAACTGGGGAGCCCAGAACTGGATGCAGTACTCCAGTTGTGGCCTCACCAGTGCAGAGTAGAGGGGGAGAATGACTTCTCTCGACCTACTAGCCACACTCTTCCCTGTGCAGCCCAGGATTCCATTGGCCTTCCTGGCCACAAGAACACACTGCTGCTCATTGTCATTTTGCTGTCTACCAGGACCCCCAGATCTTTCTCTTCAGAACTTGTCTCCAGCAGGTCCACGCCTAACCTGTACTGGTGCCTGACATTCTTCTTCCCCAGGTGCAGGACCCTACACTTTTCCTCATGAGGTTCTTCCTTGCCCAGCTCTCCAGCCGATCCAGGTCTCGCTGCATGGCAGCACAGCCCTCCGGGGTGTCAGCCACCCCTCTCAGTTTGGTATCATCAGCAAACTTGCTGAGGATACACTCTGTCCCCTCGTCCAGGTCACTGATGAATATGTTGAACAGGACTGGACCAAGTATTGACCCCTGGGGGACACCACTGGTTACAGGTCTCCAGCTTGAACCTGCTCCGTTAATCATTACTCTTTGGGTCCTGTCACACAGCCAGTTCTCAATCCACCTCACTGTCCCCTCATCCAGCCCACACTGCCTTAGTTTCCCAATGAGGATGTTATAGGAGTCAGTGTCAAAAGCCTTGCTGAAGTCAAGGTAGATGACATCTGCTGCCCTCCCCTCATCCAACCAACCCGTTATAGCATCATAGAAAGCTATCAGTTTGGTCAAACATGATTTACCCTTGGTAAACCCATGTTGCCCACTTCAATAACCCCCGGCTCTTCAACTTGTTTGGAGATGACATCTAGAATGAGTCTCTCCATTACCTTCCCAGGGACGGAGGTGAGACTAACTGGTCTGTAGTTCCCAGGGTCCTCCTTCTTGCCCTTTTTGAAGACTGGAGTGATGTTGGCCTTCCTCCAGTCCTCAGGCACCTCTCCTGTTCTCCATGACTTTTCAAAGATGACAGAGAGTGGCCCAGCGATAACATCTGCCAGCTCTCTCAGCACTCGCGGGTGCATCCAATCAGGGCCCATGGACTTATGAATGTCCAGTTCAGCCAAGTGCTCCCGAACCTGGTCCTCTTCTACTGGAGGAAAAATTTCCTCTCTCCATACCATCCCCCTTGCCTCCATGGCCAGAGATTCATGAGGGGCAGCCTTAGCAGTGAAGACTGAAGAAAAGAAGGCATTCAGCAACTCTGCTTTCTCCGTGTCTTCCACTGCTAGGGTGCCCATCTCCTTCATCAGTGGGCCCACATTATCCCTAATCTTTCTCTTACTGTTTATGTACAGCTTGAGCCTTGGCCCTTCTAATTTTCCCCCTGCATATCTTCACTGCTGCCTGGTATTTCTCCTTGCCTGCCAGGTCCCTTTTCCAAAGATCATAAACCTTCTTCTTGTTCTTGAGCTCCACCCAAAGCTCTTTATTTAGGCAGGCTGGTCTTCTTCCCTTCCTGCTTTTTTTGGGGGACTTGGGTATGGCTCTTTCCTGTGCTTTTAAGAGTTCCTCCTTGAAGTATGACCAGCCTTCCTGGGCACCTTTGCTCTTCAGGACCTCATCCGTGGAGTTTTGTTGTTGGTTTTTTTAGGGGGGAATTAAAAGAGTGATTCCAAAAGCCCTGCAAATAAGTGTAGGAAGATACTAACTTCTATTAAAAATGTGTCTCAAAATTCAGATTACTCTCAATTGTCTTATGAAAACACTAGGAAAACTGTGTTCCTTACATCAAAGATCTCAAAGCCAGCAATGTCCAGGACACCAATGAAGTACTGTCTGGGCTGCTTGGTATCCAGCTGTTGGTTGATGCGAACAACCATCCATAGGAACATCTTCTCATAGACAGCCTTTGCCAGAGCACCCACTGAATTGTTCACCTAAAGAAAGGAGAAAGGTTTGGAGGTTGCTATAGATAGCAGAGAAGAATCAACAGGAACCATTAAAGCATGGTCCAAGTCTACCACATTTTTCCTACCTGCTGCACAGTTTGACCCTTGGTCACATATTCATTCCCCACCTTGACTCTGGGGTAGCAGAGGGCCTTGAGCATGTCAGCTGAATTCAGACCCATCAGGTAGGCAGCCTTGTCAGCCACTAAACACCAGAAAGGAGTAAGAGAGAAATAAATATTGAAGAATTCCTGAAATATGGTCCTCGAGGAACTGTCTCAAAAGTAACAGCAATGTTCCCTGTTACACAAAAATGATGAGAATCAAAGCTACAAAGTTAATTTCTCTGTTGTCTTCAGGATTCAGACTCTGCAACACTTTCTGAGCTTCAGTTTCTACAAATGTTCTTCAAGATTGCTTTCATCCTTTTTAAGCGTGACTATGGGACTTCACACTTTCTAGTCGTATAGCAAGAGGACTCATCACTCAGAGACCTGGAGGCATGGATTGTACTTCCTGCTGTGATAGAGACTAATCAAATTCACATCTCACATCAGAGTTTCCCCCAATAGGTGCAAGTAAATAGGAGCACAGTCTCCCACCTTGTTAGAGCTGAACCACTTCACTACTCCACAGTACAGCAGAGATTGCAAGGTGTATTCCAATGAAAACATAACTAATTATCTTACAGGAATTAACATACATGCCTCCTGCCTTCCTGTCAGTGTACGTCAGATCTCTTATGAAGTAGTGCCAGAATAAAATGACATGTATCATTACATGAGATACATGTTCTAACTCTCATCTAGCCATTGAACAAATATTGGTTTTGTTTACACTTTTGCATATTTAAGGCCTGAAATATGCCTAAGTGGTTCTTTTGATGACAAAGACATTATCTTTTGGAAAGTATGCTGAATCTGCTGATACCTTCTGTGCCATCTGGCTCTGCCTGCTCCTCTCGTTGTTTCTGCTTGAACTTCAGGTTCCCGTAGTGCATGACAGCCCCTGTCAGCTTGTAGATGGCCGTCTTTTCATCAGCAGAAAAGCCCAGGATGTCAATGGCACTCTGGCAACAGAAACAGTGAAGGAAATGTATATGTAACAGGGCTCACATCCACCAGATGACCTGTTTTACTTACATCTGTAAATTACTTACATCTGTAGCCATGAGCTCCTCCTGGTCATCAATGCTGGGAACAGTGATTTCCCCTTGACTCACAAAGTGGAAATCATAAGGGTTGGTGGTAATGAGGAGCATGTCTGAAAGCAATACAAGAGAAAAAAATAATCTTACTTTAGCTTTCCAGATGACACAATGAGCTATTGCTCAAAAAATTAGTAACCTTCCTACCAATTAGCTCTGGTTTCTTGTTGGAGGTGATCTGATAGAATATGTGGTAGCTTCTTTCTGCCTTAAGCTGGAAGGTGACTCTGGACTTCTCCAGCAGATCTGTCATGGAAGGTAGGACAGAGTTACCACAAGAATTGGGAACAGGTAAAAGGAATGGGATCAGGCCAGGAGAGTCTCTTACAGGTTTCAATGTCAGCAGAAGCCAGTTTGCCTGTGGCTCCAAAGTGGATTCTGATGAATTTGCCCTGTTAAGGAGAAGAAGCAGCATTTCAACCCAGATGCATTTCATTGCCATCACCTTATGTGAGAATACCACTAGCCCAACACTACTGCTACAATGAGGAGGGATTTGTCCAAAGTAACAACTTACAAAGCGTGAGGAGTTGTCGTTCCTCACGGTCTTGGCATTTCCAAAGGCCTCCAGCAGTGGGTTGGCGCTGATGATTTGATCCTCAAGCGTTCCCTGCAGGATCATAATTACTCAGTTACATTTTTTAGTTGACATGACAATTACACATTGAATGTTCAGTATGTTCTTCCTGACTCACCTGCATTTTGCCTGACTGCTGCTCCTCCTTCTTCTTCTCCCCACTGGCTGCAATTGTTGCAAAGTACTGGATGACACGCTTTGTGTTCACAGTCTTCCCGGCACCGGATTCTCCGCTGTCCAACCAAAGAGAGAAGCAGAGAGCGTGTGGTCAGGCAGGAGGTCCCCTGGCACCGGGCAGCCCCGCAGAGACCCGAGCAGGGGGTGTACATACGTGATCAGGATCGACTGGTTCTCGCGATCTGTGAGAAGACAGTGATAAAAAAGATTTTCCTAATACTCATGAATAACAAAGAACTCAAAAACTAGAAGAAAAATATTAACTGAAGCCTCCAAAGGGTTCAGGGATGGAAGACAATGAAAAACCCTGGGAATTCTAGTGGGTACTTCTGATGCTCCCAGCAGTACTTCAGTTATTATCAATTGAATCAGTGAAGACGTCACTTCAGAGTAGCTTTTGTAGTCTTATGCCTTTCAAGATGCTGTCTTTTCATCAGGTAATGTATTTCTCTTTTATTAGGTAAATATATATATAATGAAAATATTTAGGTTGGGCTTTGACATCATTAAGCTAAAATTTTCTTGAGTAAACTTATGAAAATTTGAAGGTGTCACGAGCAACAGAAATATCATCTGACCAACCTCTTTCACTATTTTTCAAATCTTTTTTTTTTTTTTTTTGAACCCTTATATGTATAGAAATTATGTATTCCTGAGGTCATACATAGACAGTTAATTTTTCATTTTTCTATTCTGGATCTATTTCCCAGTTTGTTAACAAAAGAACAGGAAAAGAATATCTAAAATCCTGCACATCTTTGATTTTAATGCACACATAGGGAAGAGAAAATAAGAGGTGGAAGGAAGAGGAGAAAGCAGAAAGAATTTTTTTTAAGCCATTCAACTTAAATGCTAAAAGCTTTATTTTTTTTCCTTGACAATATTTTCTGAGATTTACTTTTCACCGTTAGGTGCAATTGATTTACAGTTGCATAGACCAGTACAGGAGTTACGTAGATCATTAAAGGTTGTATGTACTTTAGACCACCGTCATCTTCTTCATCATAAATACCATTTGCAAAAAAATCGAGTGAAGGTTATGTACTTGTTCAATGCAGAGATACTCTATTTAACCTGTTAGCACTGATGCTTGCAAATTTGACTTCACAGAATCACAGAATTGTGGTGGTTGGAAGGGACCTCAGAGATCATCGAGTCCAACCACAAAAAAACAAAACAAAACAAAAAAAAACCCACACCACCCACCACCTAAACACACAACAACAACCAAACCAAAAAACCATCACCCACCCACTCAGCAACCCACAACAAACCAATAATCTTGGGCACTAGAGCATGCCCTGAAGAAACAGGTCTACACGTTTCTTAAATACCTCCAGGGATGGTGACTCCACCACCTCCCTGGGCAGCCCATTCCAATACCTGATAACCCTTTCAGTAAAGAAATGTTTCCTAATATCTAACCTGAACTTCCCCTGGCGTAACTTGAAGCCATTGCCCCTTGTCCTGACATCTGTAACTTGGGAGAAGAGACCAACCCCCACCTCTCTACAGCTTCCTTTCAGGTACTTGTACAGAGCTATAAGGTCGCCCTTCAGTCTCCTCTTCCCCAGACTGAACAACCCCAGCTCCCTCAGCCTCTCCTCGTAAGACTTGTGCTCCAGACCCCTCACCAGCTTCGTTGCCCTTCTCTGGACCTGCTCCAGCACCTCAATGTCCCTCTTGTGGTAGGGGGCCCAAAACTGGACACAGTACTCGAGGTGGGGTCTCACCAGTGCCGAGTACAGGGGGATGATCACTTCTCGGGCCCTACTCGCCACACTGTTCCTGACTTAGCTGTAGACACATCGTTTATAAGATATGTGTGATATTACTGTACTCTGCACTCTCTGACTGAGACTAGTTTAGTGATTAAGATAAATAAAACTATGCATATATGTAACATCCCATTGCAGTCAGTAAAGTCTACACCAGCAAATAGGTGTCTTCTTTCCTTTGAATTTACTCCTTATAGACTATTAGAGCCACCAAGCTGGTGAGGGGTCTGGAGAACAAGTCCTGCGAGGAGAGGCTGAGGAAAGTGGGCGTGTTTGGTTTGGAGAAGAGGAGGCTGAGGGGAGACCTCATTGCCCTCTACAACTTTCTGAAGGGAGGGTGTAGAGAGGTGGGTGTTGGCCTCTTCTCCCAAGGGAATAATGACAGGAGCAGAGGAAATGGTCTGAAGTTGCAGTAGGGGAGGTTTAGATTAGATATTAGGAAGAATTACTTTACTGAGAGAGTGGTCAAGCACTGGAATAGGCTGCCCATGGAGGTTGTTGAGTCACCATCCCTGGAAGAATTTAAGAAACATATAGATATGGCACTTCAGGGCATGCTCTAGTGGCCGAGATTGTTGGGTGTTTTTTTATGTGTGTATGATTGGACTTGACAATCTCAGAGGTCCTTTCCAACCATGACCATTCTGTGATTATTTTCATTAAGTCCACGTCTTTATTGATTGTAACAGGGACCTCACGCAGACCATTACAGCTAAGTGCATTGATCTTCCATTAATTTCAAAGATAAGGTATTTTAAGTGTTGTAGAATATTTCCAGAGATACTCTACATTTCCCTCCGCATATACCTCATTGTAATAGCAGTTCAGAGGAAATTAAGCACTCACCAGTCAGCATGAACTGATAGGCATTGTCAGAGATGGAGAAGATGTGTGGAGGGGCCTCCTGGCGCTTCTTGCCTCGGTAGGCCAACACCACCTCCGGGTTGTACACTGGCAGCCACTTGTAGGGGTTGACAGTGACGCAGAAGAGACCCGAGTAGGTCTGTGAGGAAGGCAGACAGCACGTTGGCTTCCACTTAGCCACTTCCAGAGCAGTTCCTCCCAGCTAGCCAAGGGAAGAGCGCTGCTGGTACTTACGTAGATCATCCAGGCTGCATAACGCTCTTTGAGGTTGTACAGCACAGCGGGTTCATGGAGATGTGTCATCATGGCCATGTCCTCGATTTTATCATACTTGGGAGGGTTCATGGAGAAGATTTGATCTTCCTTCACAGTCAGGGTCTACCAAGGTAACAAAAGATCCATGTATGTCAGCTAAGAGCTCAGAGTGGGAATCAAATGGTGTCCTTCGGCCTTGTTTCTACTCACCTCTCCACCTTCAGTCTTGACGGTGACCTTCCCTGATTCTCTGCTCTGGATTGTCCCTTTCACAAAGGATTCCTTAGGATGTGCCACAAAGACCGATGTCTTGGCATCAAAAGGCTTGTTCTGGGCCTCGATTCTCTCCTTTTCTGACTTTCGGAGGTAAGGAGCCGCCTCCCCAAAGGCAGCCATCTCAGAGTCTGCAGAGGCCATGGCTGCACTTTATTGAAAGCACGTCAGCAGAGCGGTTTGGTGCAGAAAAAAAGGTTTTGGATCACTGAGAATAATAATAAAATCCATATCAGTGAGAAAACTCCATGCTTTTCATCTAATAAATTGCTAGCTATTATCCCAGGAAATGTCTTAGAAGTAAACACTGAAATCCACTTTGATTTTAACTTACAATTACCTAACTTCCACTCAAAAGCAAGACTTAGTCTTTTAAACCTCATAGGCCTTATAACAGTAAATAGAACATCTTCTAAATATTGACTATTTGTAACTTGATGAATTACACCAGATTTGTGGTCTTCTCATAAAAGAATCTACAGCCAGAGAAAATCACTCTGTTCTGGTCCTTAATGATGAATATTCAAGAGAGTACTTTCCTGTTAAAAGTGTGTTGAAAATGAAAAATTACGTCACTTCTTAGATCTTCCCTATTTTCAATAGTCTAGCCTAAATAAAAGTCATCAGAAATACAGGAGGTTTTACAACAAGAACTCATGCAGCTGTATAGGAGTGCATTATTCAGGATGTTACCTTTGGAGAAAGGCTTTTGTATCCTGGAAACTGGCCAACCCTGTAAAATAGGAATAGCAGTTGTTTCTTATTGCTGTGTGGAATTTCAGAGACAAATTAGAGATTGAAAATACAGACATGCATTGAAATTATATTGAAATTTTTTGTTCAGATGGGCACTCCCTCATGGAAATGGTTTCCAGAGGCGGGAGAACTGGAATGGGATATTGCATGGACATTGTCCCCTTTCTTTAAGCTCACAAAATGCATGTACCTACCTTGAGCCTTCCGTGGAGACAGGCCAGACTTGTCCCTGGGAGATTTTATAGCGTCTCATCTGCAGATGCTGCAGATGCTCCCCCTTTCTTCGGTCAAAACATTTCTGGCAAACCTTCTTTGGCAAAGCATTGTCTGGCAAACTAAGGGCATAATTGTCATTTGATTTGAATGATATAATTAGAACATTTTTATATCTTACTGACTATGTGAATACATCTATAAATAATTTGTCAAGAGTGTTAAGGAGAGAATCTAGACTACTCAAGGCACTTAGAGAACTTGGATGCAGAGACTTATCATTCCTATGGCTGACTCTCAGTGATTTGCTGCTTGACTCATGGTAGATTCCTCAGTATGTTTATACCACAACTTTTCAGTCATGCAATGGGGATGATAACATCTATGATGCTTTAGGAACACATGCATTGAGAGGAACAGAAAAGTGTGTAAAAAAAAAAGCAAATAATTGTGTTTAAGACCCACTTTTCAGTGGTATTTTCTAAGCAGAAAGTTAAAATGTATGAAGTTTCTGTGTAGGACACTCAATAGCTGAGAGGGTTCAAAATACAGTGAGTTGGAAGCTTGAACCCAAGTAATGGGAGATTCTATATTGAAATGGAGCTCTTGAATAGATTCCTGAGCTGACTTTTGGGGTATCAAATTAAAATGCATACTTGTGCATGCATAGATAATATATGGTTTTGTGGATATTTCATTTAAAAAGCAGTTCTCCAAGAAACTCAGCTTTCTTACAGTTCACTCTCTTATACTATTTGCTTGTTCCTATCATCATCTGCATAAATAACCAGTTCCTTCTGCCAAATCTGAAGATCCAGACACTCCCATAGCCCCTCCCTAGCTACACCTCCCCAGAACAACATCCCTTACCTGCCGTGCCTGTACACACAATCACACATATGACCTCAGAATATAGTTCCAGATACTATGCATTCTAATAGTCAGTCCAGCACTTCTGTGACATCAAAATACACATATTTACACATTCACAGTGCCATAAAAATCTAAAAACATAGTACTGCCCGTATAGAGAGTACTGCATTAGAGATAGCAGGCAGTTTTTCTGTAATGTTGATGGTTTGGGAAAAGGAAATTTAGTGGTAGTCCAAGAGACTAACTTAGTCACTTAAATTTCTTCAGATCCTCCAGGTCTAAACACATTCTCCTCCTGGTCAGTCATTAAAATATCTCAGTGAATAACACAGGGAAGAGGTTAGAAAAACGATGCCTGGGGTCCAGTGTAATATGTAGCATCAGACTATGCCCTGTGATGTAGGAGCCCCTTCCAAGAGGGCTGTGGCACTGCAGCACCCATGTTTTGGGCCCCAGACTGGAATCCAAGCACAGAGCTTATCTCTGAACTCACTGCATATGTTATGGGGACAGTTCAATATCTCAGAAGGCTAACCTTTTTACATGGATTAGGAAGAAAGGATTAGTGCGATAATTTTGAATTTTTGTCCAGTGCAATACAATAATCTAGAGAGCATTTAATATCTGATTTGATCACGCAACCTTCTCAAAATAATCCTTCATATAGGAATAGAAGCCTGACATAGTTCCCTGTGTGTTCGGCTGCCACTCATGGATCCTTGGAGAAAGATGAGGCATTCAGTTACTGGGAACATATACTGACAATGGCCCTGTCTTCCTTTTTAGTTGAACAATAGGCTCATACCCAATAGATTGCACTCAAGAATGGTGGAAATTGTGAAGCTAAATTCCTTCCAACTCTTGCCATGTTCAGCACTGAAGTCCTGTGTTAATATTTCTCCATGCTCATGCTGTTCAGGGAATTCAGGTCTCTCAGGTTTCCTACTCCAGGGACCTTCACCAAGCCTTTCCTCATTTCTTAACAGCTGTCCTCTCAGGACAGGAACACCAACTGCAGTTAAGAGAGGACTACTGGACTGCTAGAGCAATGAATGTAACACTGATAGGAAATCACAACTACTCCATACGGAATGGGCAAATTTTATTTTGGGTTGTAGTACCAAAACTATATTTGTGGACACTGTCAGCAAGTGCTTCATGAAACCACTAGTTAGAGTGTGAAGGAAAAGCAGTGTTGGCTTACCTGATTTGAATACAGCTGTGGACATAACTGAAAATAAAGCTGTTTAAGAATTGACTTCTGGCAATGCATGTAATATAACATCCTTGGAAGAGTTAAAATAGCCTCCAAAATCCAATAGATATGTGTTTATAAAGCACATAGAAATAGCAGCTCAAAGGGAAGCAGTTCAGTTTTAGTACACTGAAAATCATTTAAAGATACCATAGCAGAGGTCCAGGGCAAAGGAATGCTAATTATCAGAAAAGACCTGATAAAAGACAACAGTCACTTCATCATAGAGACCAATCAGGTAGGTTAAGCTTGAGCACTTCCCTTGCTAAATACATGCTGGCTGCTCTCAGTTATCTTCTTCTCCTTCACAGTCATAGGAATAAGTAGCAAGAGGACATAGTTTGTGATCTTCCAAATAACTAAAGTGAAACTGAGCAGCTTACAGTTTCACTGATTCTTCTTCCAGCCTTTTTAAAAGATGGACATAACATTAGCCTTTTTCCAGTCATATGGGACGTTCTCTCTGTGTCATCATTTTACACTAATGATAAATATAGGCCTTGCAATTACATGGGCAAACTCCTTCATCATCCTTTAATGGGTCACACCCAACCCCATGGATATGAATACATTCAGCTTCTTGTAGTAATTCCATCTTCTCTAAGTAGTAGGCTAAGACTTCCCCACTATTGGTTATACCTTTCCTTCTCAAACTCTGATGGAAAATGCAGATGCCTGGGGACAAGCTTTGCCTATGAAGACTGATGCAGAAAAGGTGCTGCATACTTTTTGTATCATCTCTCACCAGGTGGACTCCCACATTCAGTGGTAGACATATTTCTCTGAATTCCCTTCTGCATCATCCATGCAGAACTGTTATGCTTAATGTCCTTAAGTGCCCAAGAAATGTTACATATTCCTATTTTGTTGTCAGTCCTCCTTGCCCCAAACTCTTCGTTTATCAAAGAAGTTTGCTGCTTCACTAAAATGAAATTCCCAGTCTTCCTGCAGAACAAGGTAGTTTGTTTCTCAGGTCTCAATAATTTTCCATTTAAATCCTAATCATCTGTCCTGAGCAGTCTTCTCTTTCTCAGCTGCTGCCAAGGGTGTTCTAACTAGCACTTCCCTGAATACAATGAATTCCAGTCTTGCAAAGTCTAGAGTGCTGATTCTATTGCTTACCTCCACATCTTTCCACTAGGTTCTTCATTTCAACATCATGTGGCTGCTGCAGCCTGAGGATCTGGGCCCATCTGGGATCATACTTACCACTAGTTCATCCATGCTTCCAGTACTCAGCATTACCTTACCAGTATTTACATTACAATATTGTCATTAGTACAGTCTAAGAACTTCTGGCATTACTTGCCCAGTGCTGTTTCCCTCCCAGCTCGTGTCCACATGGCTGAAATCCTCCCTAATGCAGCAGAGATTTCTGCCTTTCTACTACTTGTAGAAATCCACCTTCACTACTTTGTCTTGGTCAGGTGGTCTATAACAGCCCCCATCACAACATCCTTCATTGTCTTACTGTCTCTCATGGGATGTCTACAGTTTCACAGTGATGGTTTGCACAGTTAAGGAGTACTTTAACATAAAGCATATATCCTCCTCATCTTCCCTCTCTATTCTTCCTATGCAGTCTGTACCCTCCTATGACCATGTTCCAGTAGTGCGTGCTATCTCACCATATCTCCATTATTTTAACCATGTTCCCCTTCTCCCTTGCAAAATTCCAGTATTTGCAGTTATTGCTCTGTCAATCCTGGGCTCAAGTCCTCTGCCCATGATGAAACTGATTTCACACCCGTGTCATCTTATTAGTGGTCTCATTGGAAAGACCTCTTTCCCTAATCCTCAAATACAGTTATCCAAAAATCTAGAGGAACTGAAAGATGAAGTTTCCAAGTTTCCAAAGATGGTGTGAAAGCTCCTACTTTAAAATCCCTTTGGATATCACAGAACTGCTAGTTGACTAATGTTAGCCTGTGGTGTTAAAAGGGCTTGTGGGCAAATCAAGGGAACTACAGTGCAGTAAGGCTGATGGGTATACTGGACAAATCAGTAGAAATTATAATATAGAGCAATATTAATGGACACAGGGAAA